TTGTAAGGTGAAGTATTTTAATAGTAAATKATGCTTGTGGCTCTGATTTGTGATCTGCGGGCAACTCCTACTGTTACTCTTTTTGGAGCATCCAGAGCAAAGTCAAGTTGGAGTTCTGTTGACTGGTCGTTAACAGTGAGTTTTATGAGTCACTCGAACAGTTTTGGGGTTCCCCTCCAAAGATGCAGGTCAGTGACTAAATATAGACATCAGAAGTATTTCTCCCTCCTTGCCCTACCCATTTTTTTTTTTGTTTTATAAGAAATTGGAAGAGTGAGAATACTTTTTTGGCACTGGTATGTTCTCACTAAACACTAAAAGCGGCATATCTTTTTAAAATACAGATGTATGCTGGGGATCTTCATGGAATGGTCTCAGCTCTAGACTATGATGTTGATGGGCCAATTGCAACACCATACAGATTGTGAACGTGTCTCACATATCACTCTGTTAAGTAATTCACTTACAATAAATCTTTTATTTTGGAAAGAAATCAAAGAGGATTCTTTCRGCATCTACGAAGCTCATGCTATGTATACAATGGAGCCAAAAGTTCAGGCTTTATAAGCTAACAATGAGCTCKGCAAACCTCCATTTAAATAATTTATTATTGAAAATCAGCATTTCATTTGGGTCTGCCCAGCAGAAGGAATCTTTCCTACAGAGGCAGTCTGAGAGGAGTGAGCTCTTTTGTCCTGTCCTGTACTTCCTCCCAGCTGGCACTGAAAGTGCTCAAAACTTCCCAAGAAATGCCCGGCTCCTAGCACGGGGTCCAAGTTCTTCCAACTGGCACATCAGTGGGACCTCCAATAGAGTGTGGCTTTCTCCTCTTACACTGAATTGAAAGCAGCAAAAAACCTCATAGCAGTACTGAGGATTTTTAATTAATTTAAATAAATCTAATTATTRTAAATTTAATATTAAATGTTTCATTTAATTTTATTTCAAAACATCTTGAATGATATACATGGAAGACTTGTGTATAGAGAAGTAAGTAGCCTCCAGTGTATTTTTACACCACATTCTTCAGCCTTCTCAGGAGTATAAAGCAGGCGTATTGATGTGGATATATTGTGCTGCGCGAATCCTTCCAGTGTAATAGGGAACAAATAAATGCCTGGCTATGAGCAGGCACTATTGTAGTGTGCTTGTGGTGTGCAGAGATGTCACAGCTCTGCCCTCAGCARTACCCATCAGGACGCTGAGCCTGCAGTTGCTATTGCAGCCAGCAAGAGGGGCAAAACCCATACTCAAATCTCTTTGAGCAAATTCTTCACATAGAAATGGTTTTCATTTTAACGAACTGCCTAAGTAAACTTGAATCCCTTGGTCTGTAGGTTTGAGTGTATGCATGTGAGAGGTGTGCATTTGGGTGCATACGGGATAGTACTCCTAAGGGTGAGGCCTGAGAGACTGATGAGGAACAGCAGCACTGCCATGTCTAAGGGCTGCCCTGACAGCTGATAGAGGTGATAGGAGGCTATTTCTCCACTGTCTTTCTAGCCAAGAGTTCACTTCTCAATGTTCTCCTGATTCCAGTGGTTTGGAGCATCAAGGAAAACCAAGACCAGTACAGATTTAACAGATATACCTGTTCTATGAAGATCTTCTCTCTCCCTCAGAGGACACAGTATGTCTGTTAAATCTGTACTGATCTTTCATTTATTTTTGGGTATTTTCATGTGAGTGCATAAGCTCTAATAACCACAGTGTATTCCATTTCCTTTGGAGAACAAAGCAAATGGTGTCTATTTTTATTGCTGTATGGAAAGACAAATGCAAAACTTTTTAAAAGTATGCCAGGTAAGAGGGACCCAACTTGATAACATACTTTCAAGCTGGATTTAGATAACTGCAACTAACTTGTTTTAAACAGCACTCCAGAAGAAGGGAAAAAAAAATAAAAAGCCTTCAGGATAGAATCATAGAATCATAGAATATTTAAGGTTGGAAGGGACCTCAGAGGTCATCGAGTCCAACCCCCTTGCACACGCAGGGACACCTAGAGGACGGGGCACAGGGCTGCATCCAAGCGGGTTTTAAAGATCTCCAAAGAAGGAGACTGCACAACCTCTCTGGACAGCCTGTTCCAGTGCTCTGTCACCCTCACTGTCAAGAAGTGTTTCCTTAAGTTCCTGTGGAACTTTTGGTGCCTCAGCTTGTGGCTGTTTCCCCTAGTCCTATTGCTGGCCACCACTGAAAAGAGGCTGCCCCCTCCTCCTCACTGCCTCCCTTGAGGTATTTATACACACTGATCAGGTCCCCCCTCAGCCTTCTCTTCTCCAGGCTGAACAG